GTAGCCAAGTCGAGAGCAATATACTTCTCGGAAGTCGAAAGTGGGAACTCATTCGCACGGCGCTATCAGAACATGGAGCGATGTGCATTTTAGTTACGCTCCTGGAATTGTACTCTGAGAATACTATGAGGTCTCGGCACTCGTGGCCGGACCGATATCGTATTCAGAGACTAGAGGGAGCCCCGGAAGATGATGATGCTGAAGCTGAACGACCCTGGCGATATTGCCAAGTTCGACTGAGATTGCGATGCTGGCTTATGGAAATTTGCAACTGGAAAGATGGGCTACACCACCTTCGCAACTCGTGTGCCCCGTGGATGTAGCTTATAATCCGTAACATAATAGGTACGATCTGTGGGGATATATCCTTGTAGCCGGTACTACTGCAAAGTACATGCTATCAATCTCGAGAGGACCATCAGGACGATGGCTGACAGAGTTTCAGGCTGAGCGTCGCCGGATTCCAGTGATCTCAGACCTCAAGGCTATCAGGATATCATTGAATCTGTTACCCTCAGTTGTCTGTGTGGCGTTGTTGCAAACAATGCTCTGGGAAGCTGGTTACCAGTTCGTGAACATCGTTCCTGCTTAGAATAGGTGGTCAAACCATTCCAGGATTCCAGATCTGGGTCGGGGACGAGATTCGTAAACTCGGACATTTCATAGGTGTTGAATTGGTGGCTTGGAATACAGTCGTGAATGGTACGACGTACTTTGTGCGTCCGGCCTCGGACCCAAATTTACTCAGCCAAAGGTGCAACGGCCCAAGGTGATCTAGCAGCTAATAGTGACGGTGGCACCTTTGTAGACGAAGAGACGCGAATGTATCTAGGCCCAGAAGTGGTGATGCGATTAGAGGTGACTGGGATCAGGCCCATAAGCCCAGTATCGAGTATTGAAGGAGAACTTGTTCGGAAACGACCATTGTTGAATCAGCCCACATCTAGCAATTCTATCCCATCCAATCATGGGTCAAGTGCGAGGTCAGAAAAGTGACCGCGAGGTCAGAAACACGTCAACATACTAGTGCTACGCAAGTGGGCTCCGAAACAGCAATAGTTGGAGCTGATTCTGGGATGGATTTGTCAGGGTTTAGCTTCTCAGAATCGTCCTGACTGTCAGCTACAGACTACATGGCGAGTTTTGGAGCGCATATGTCAATGTCCAATGCACGCGTAATGATGGGAAAGTCTGGAGCAATCACCCGAAGTGATTTTGGTGGAATGACGATCGCTGTTACGCCAGCAGAACAACCGGAGCAGACTCCGAATCGATCGCAGTTGTATAGTTTCAATCAGCAAAAGCCCACACAAACCCGACCTCCGGCTTCAGGAGGGTTCAATTTCTCAGGGTCTGAGAATAGTGTGCTGAAGGCTGAACGAGAGCAACTCATTTGGGAACATCACCAGGCTCTAGCTCGATTGGAGAATGAAGCTCAGAATAAGATTCAAGCTGAGAGTAATCAGCGTGAACGACTCGAGAAGCAGTTGAAGCTCTCGCAGCAGACTATAGACCTGGAAAGAAAACGGCCAGAAAAAATACAGTCACAGCAAGTTTCAACCAATTCTCCAATTATGGTCACGGAATAAGAGTTGGAAAGGCAACACCAATTGAGAGCTGCCGAGCAACTACTCCGAGCTCAGTATGAAACAAGGTCCAAACATGAAGCGGAACGTGAAGCTTAACCTTCGTCTCTGGCTATTGGTACCTAATTGTATTTGGCCTTTACTTCCGCTTCTCGGATTTCTTGTTGCGCTCTCACAGGCTCGAAGTCAGTATGAGGCTAAGATTCAGAAGCTGAGGGAAAGAGGGGCACGTGATGCAGCAGAACGCCTGGAAGAGATTTGGACCCGAGAAGAGAAGATCCGCCAGTTATCGTCGAACCTGCCGTCGATGAGTAGCAAGGTTGAGCCGAGAATGCAATCAAGATCGCCCCTTCAGTAACAACTGGAGGCACGAGAGTTTCTAGAATGATTACCCAGCCATTGATAGACCCCGTGACGGCTCAGATGGCTCAGAGATATGAAGTAATTCAGAAGTTGAGTCAGAACCAAGCTAACATTGCCACTCAACTGTAGAGTCAATCAGGGAAGCAAAATGTCAGCGTTCCCAACCAAGATAAAACTTCGGTTGAGAATAAGACCGGACAGTCCAAGAAGTCTGGGAATAACCAAGGAAACGCATCCAGCATGGAGGCCCAGGAGACTACGATCCCGGAGATGGAGACTCTAGCGGCTGGTCTGAAGATGAGTTAGATGGGCAATTTGACCCGATTTCTCAGAAAGGAACTACCGGGACCACTACGAATTCTGGAATGTGGGTCACGGTGCAAACGTTTAACCCACATGACGCGTTGGAAAACTTTGACGAACATGCCATTCTGGAAGAGCGTATGGACTGGTGGGTAGATTCATGTATCATTCCTTGATGAGATCCTGGGATGACAGCGCCCGAGTAGTGCGGCTATGCATGAGATTGCCAAGTGCGTTAAAAGATTGGTGTACCGAGTTGCCTAACGAGAACCGATCCAACTGGAAGGCTCTTGCACACGTTTTCAAAAAAGAGTGGTTTCGTTCAGTGGGATCTAAAGCTGAACAATACTACGGCATGGAAATGCGAGATCAAGAGACTCCCAGAATGTTTTTGTATCGGCTCAATAAGGTCGCTTAAAGTGCCGGTATCCGATTCGAGAAGCCAGTTTCTGAACGTGAAGCCCATATTCGACGGTTCATTCGTGCGCTTAGCGACAAGCACACGAAGACAACTGTGCAAGGACAAGCTTTTGAGAAAATGGTGGAATTGGAAAGGACCTTGAAGCGGATTGAGGTTTTACGCCAAGAAGAAACCCAAACGATGCAGCAAAAGAAGAATCCAGCGCAGAATCTACAGTTCGGGCGGTTCAAACCTCCGCAGCGACGTGCAGAAGGAAAAACTTCCATAACTAACAGTGCGGAAGTTGAAGCGGAGTCTGATCAGTATTCTCAGCCTAAACATGATCCAGGATATGAGACCGAAGAGGAAACTGAGGAAGAGATCAAGGCCCCGCCTATGGAATTCTCATAATCAGTCCAAGTCGGTATGCTTCCGGGAGCAGAAGCCGCTCCCGTGAATTCCGAGTATATGACGGATAAAGCGATATTCCGCCTGGCGGAACGACTAGTCTGGAAACCTGGAAACGGACAACATCAAACCGAGGAAACAAATTGTATATGGACAAGCGGTGTGATGAGTGTGGTAGTAATACTCACTCATCTGAGAAGTGTTGGAGTATGCTGATTTGCGGTCGATGACGTGACGAAGGAGCCCCTACACAATTCAGTCGACGCCAACCGTGTCCCAAGTGTGGCGAGTTCCATCGCTGAGGATTCTGTGACCTGTGATCGGCCATGAAGGAAGTCAGCGACGTTATCAACGCCTGAGTATCTCTAGAGAACTTCTCCCCGGAAATAGTACGGCATCTTTTGCTGGAACGTCCCGGGGTTGAGAAGCAGTTAAACCACTAGGCTCGCTGATCGGAGAATCAGTGCGCGTCGATCCGAAGTCCTCAGAATTCTGCGCATTTGCATATGCGAGCCCCGTTCTTTCATGTAGGCGCAGGAATAACCTCAATTCCATTTCCCCCTTGATGAAGAACATGTTTTATCTATTAGTCCTGATGCAGAGCACCGGAGATCAGCTGAGAACTGTGAGAATCCTTTGGAGTTCACGCTACAACCCAGGCAAAAATTGGTTGGTGGAGTGAACACACTTTGGTAGAGGAATCACGGAAAATGACAATTGTACATGGAGCTATATTCAACACACGAGACAAGTATTTTTGGATTCCGGAGCTACCACAAATATTATAAGTTTTGACCTTGTACGCAGGTTGAAATTGGGCCTTAATCATAAGGGCAAGCTTTGGATTCTGGGGTATGGTGACGTACCAACTTACATCTCTGCCAAAGCCCGGATTAAACTGACTCGGGGACCTCGAGTGGTTAATGTACTCGATGTCTGGGTCGGGAATATTGGAGCTGGAGTAGATTGTCTCCTCGGAATGGATTTTAGGATGTCTGCAGGAGTGAGATTGAGTGTACGTGAAGCAGTAGTCAAACCCCCGGATGAAGAATCGTTGTTGCTAGTTGGTGGACCAGCGTTCGACCACTTGGGAATGGATCTTAGTGTTTGGGTTAAAGATACAGCATGGTTACGTCCTGGAGAACGTCTCGTTGTGACGATACTGTATTGTCGAGCTAACCCCGAATTCTTAGAGTTCTGGGCCGGACGCGGTGAAAAGTGGGTCACTCGTTTCGTCTATGGCGTAAGTCGGAGATCCAAAGCAGTCGAAGTAGTGAATGTCTCTAATTTGATAGCTACTGTCTATCGGAATACTGCAGTGGCGCACGTTATCGAAAAGGGATGTCTGCCTAGTGGGGAACGTTTGTACGCCCCTCTTCTAAAAAGTACGGCGAATGGAGAACACTAATATATGAAGTTGAACCTTCGCTGGTGCTTCCCGAAAATGAAGAAGAAGAGAAGTTGTGGAAAGAGTTCGAGTCTGTGCCCTCCGTGAAACGACCTGTCTATCCCTGGCCTAAGACGATGTTGATGAGGAAAATACCATCATCCTCGTGGGAAGGTGAGCATGGGTCAGAAGAGGAAGCCCCGGTACGAACTGAGTCTGAAATGGACGCGTCTTCTGGGAGTGCTTCAGCACCAAAACGGCAGATATGGGAGAAACTCCAGCGAGTCCCAGACCACCATCTGAGTATGGGAACGAATCTTCCGCACTGGAAGAGATCGTCCAGGTACATAAGGTTGAGCCCGAAGTGCCACAACCAGAGATGGAAGTGCCGCGAGTAAGATTCTCAGACCCTAGTCTGGGAATTGACTCGGACTGCTCTGAGAATAGTACCAATTTCCGAAGGAACGAGTTGGAGACAGATTCGAGGGATTTTCATGATCACGATAATGAGACAATCTCTCGTCTATTCGATAACTTCGCGCGTTGCTTGAGAATGGAAGTGACTGATGTTGAGGTGGAGGCCACCGTATTCTTCCATGAGGGGAGTGAATTGTTAAGTGACCTCAAAGATCAGTTAGCTGCCCTCCCGGAATTGAAGGACCTAAGCCCTATTGCGGATCTAGACAATGCTAATATTGGTGAACCTGACGAAACTACCCAAGAAATGGATACTAAAGTACGAGCTATTTCGGAAAAGCATCATAGCATTCTTGTTGGGGACGGAAATGCCGTGCCTACACCGGCGAGAAGGGTCGTCTGTGATCTGGATGTGAATGGAACTAAGCCTATTGCTCAGAGGTCTAAGCAAGTGCCACACCATCATCTACAGAAGGTATATGACCTGTTGAAGAAGCTGTTAGAGACCAAGCTGATCGAATACTCGGACTCTGAATGGGCTTCTCCCATTGTCATTGTGATGAAAAATAATGGAGTGGACATCCGACTCTGTATTGACTATTGATGAGTTAATCAGCTGATCCAGCTCATGCACTATCATCTGCTTTCGATCGATAGTTTATTGATTGGGTTTGAGAATGTAATGTGGTTATATGGCTAGTGGATTCTGGGCTGTGCCTATGCCACATCGGGCACAACATATATCAGCTTTTGTGTGTCCCCTAGGCCACTTTCAATGGAATAGGATGTCATTTGGGCTCAAGAATGCGCCGTTGATCTATCAGCAGATGTTGGATAATTGTCTCTGGGGCTTTGTGCGCCTTCTGCCCGCAGAAGAAGCTAAGGTGGATTCTGAAGTCTTGGCCGAGAATAAGGTCGAAACACGAGATTTATCCCCCTTGACCGAGGCTTTGACGGTGTTCCGGAGGAATATTCCTGCACCTGCTGAGCTTAGGCCTATTCTGGAACGAAGTTCGTATACAGATGATATCGCGTATGGAGCAGAAACCTAGGATCAAATGTTTATCGACCTAGATCGATTGTTTTATCGAGTGCGATATTGGGGAATCTCTGTGAGTCTTCCGAAAAGTAAGTTTGGTAAGAGACCTATTTCGTACTTATCACCTGAAATTGGAGCTGAAGGAATCAGAGCCAAACCTAAGCTTGCGGAGGGTGTCAAGAAACTGCCGTTCCCAACTACTCTCAAAGGTATACAATCATTTCTGGGAAGCCTCAACTACTACAACAAGTTCATAAAAGATCTCTTAGAAGTTGCAGCTGTCAAGTATGAATTAACAGACGAGCAGATTCGAATGGGTAAAAACATGGAACCTGCAAAGGAAGCTTTCGAAATTCTCAAGCAGAAAATTGTCTCCACTCCGCTATTGAGACATCCAGACAGGAAGAAACCATTCATTATCATCCTACACGCAAATCCTTGGGCAATGAGAACGGTGTTGGCCAAGAATACGATGGAAAGATATATACGGTTCGATTCACTGGCAGGATACTGCACGATCAAGAAATGCAATATCACCCGGCAGAGAAGGAAACAGTGGAATTTCTCAGAGTTCTCAGAGTATTCTATCCTACAACGCCACCTTGAAGGTGTATACGCGCTAATCGGTTCTGGGATGGTTATTCCAATCTAAGTCCTTAGAAGGCCGTTGTGAGCAATGGGCAGCCAGGTTGGCACTCTGGCCGCTGGAAGTGCACAACATCCAGAATGACGAGGACGGATTAGCGTCAATTCTGGGAGCCGGATTTACTCTGCGTGACAAACTCGATCAAATTGCGGAGAATCCCATCCTAACGAAAGGTCAAGTAGTCAGAGCTCCTCCTATTAGCCTCAAGATGCTGGAGTCTGACGACGAAGGTTGGCTCCTCAGTTTTGACGGTTCAGCTAGGACTTCGGATCGATTAGGAAGTTCTGGGTGTATTCTATGAAAGTTACCTACTTGGGAGGTGGTTGCAGCTCGAGGTTTTTATTTTGAAGGCATCATGGTGAATGAAGCTGAGTATCATGGTATGATTGAGGGTTTAAAGATGGCATTGGATCGAAGAATCCGGGAACTGATTGTCGTAGGTGATTCTCGGATAGCCATTCAACAAGGCCATGGACTTATTCAGTGCCTAAATCCCGAGTTGCAGTTGTTGTTCGCTCCGTTCGAAAGTCTGCGCAAAGAATTCAAGTCTGTGCGTCTAGTACATGTGAAACGGGAGTATAATGCTGCCGCTGATTACGTGACTGGCAAAACAGCCTTGTCTCGGAACTCCGCGGAAATAGTGAATGCGATTGAATTAGCTCAGCTGAAACAGGTGAATAGGATACCCGAAAAACTGGTGAAACAAGGTACTTTGGAAGACACGAAGTCTGGGAACCCAGTCATGAAATCGGAAGAATTGGCATCCCTGGAAACACAAAGAGGAATGGAGCGTGTAAGCTTCCGTTTGACAATTCCCGAATCTGAATCGGTAGAAATCGCAGCTAGTCCACTGATACCCTCTTCTCGGACATTCGTCGCCGTAACAAGAAGTAAAGCAAGAGTCTCACCACCGGCGGATCGAGGAATTTCGGAGCCAATGATAGAAAACCAGATTTTGGGATGTCTGAGAATACTATGGAACCCAGAGGATATCTACCTGAAGGAACGACGCCTGTGGCGGCAATAGTTGAACGTTGGCAACGTATTTGTATTCATCAGCAGACTGAACCCTGGATTCGTCGCCTCACCACTAATTTGTGTGGAGATCTGAGTAAACGCTTAGCTGCCGAAGTGAAGCTGCAAAACTCGCCGATCCGTTTGCATTAGACTCCCGGAATGTATTGTACTACCGAAACCGGCCGATGCCAACGCGGCCTAGTGACGCTGAAGGTAATGTGAGACTCGTGGTCCCCAGGACACTCGAGAAAGATATATTGCATCTGTGCCATGAAGATTTTCAAGGAGGTCATCAGAGAATCCATAGAACTCAGGAGCGCTTACGCCGAGAATACTATTGGACAGGAATGTACGGGGATGCTGAACGTTTCGTGAGGGTATGTGGAGACTGTGGTACTGCTAAGGGCGCACCACCGAATCCTGGACCCTCGCCCGGTAATATTCTCGCCACTACGCCATTTGAGGTGTTATCTACGGATTTTATGACGCATCTGCCAAAATCAGATCGATGCAACACATTCTTGCTGCTATTCCAGTGTATATTCTCAGGGTTTAATATTTGTAAACCAATGAGTGATACCACAGCGCAAGAAGTTGCAGAAGCTTACATGGAGCGAGTATTTCAACGTTTCGGTGCCAGTAATATGGTCAGACATGACAGAGATCCCAGATTCATTACCGAAGTCTTCACGCGATCCCGAGAGATGCTGGGAAGTAAACAGAGGGCAACCTTAGCTTACAGACCTCAGGATAATGGTCAGCAGGAACGATCCGTGCAGACAATCAGAGCCTATGTGGAAGAGTCAGATCAGAGTGACTGGGACGATCAGGTCGAGAAGTTGATGTGGGCTTTAAACACGTCTTTTGATGCTACTCGTCTAGACACTCCGTTCTACTTAGTGCACGGCTAGGACCCCCAGAATACTGTGAGTGCAATGCTGGGAAAGACACCGACAGCTTTTGACCAGAAGACAGCGTACGGGTGGCGAAGAAATACCCAACGCCAGTATGAATACGCCCAAGCTTGGGCTAAAGATCTACAAGCGGAGGCCAAGTCGAAACGATCAAAAGTTCAGACTTAAGTGTGGAAAGAATTGCCAGATAGGCTCAAACAAGGATTCCAAGTAGGAGCCTCGGTGTGGTTCAACCTGGTTCGAGTACAACCTGGATTGAGCAAATCAAATCGCTCATCTTTGACACGGCCCTTTCAGAATCCTTTAAGTTTCAGATGGCTTTCGCTGTAAGCTCAAGATCGAAGGCACCGTGTACAAGGAATATCCTTGGATGCATGTGAGCAGACTAAAACCGCGTGACTTACTCCCAGATCGACCTTCTGAAGAGGTAGAAGTATGAATTTGATGCTGCTCTGCTACCTGAAGATGCTTCTGAACCCGATGAAGCCCAGAATGTGTATGAGGTGGAAGCGAGTCGAGGTGTACGATGGGTTAAGAGAACTTGCACCTCTCAGAGGGTCCGAGAATACTTGATGAAATGGATAGGATACACAGAATTGCAGTGGTTACCAGTTTCCCAGTTGAATTGTGGAGCTTTACTTTGTGATTTCAACAAGAGCGTCAAAGCACAAGCAAGGTTACGTGCGATGCAGTCTGGAGACACTCCTGTTGAGCGCTAGCTCACAGGAGTGACTCAGATAAAACGAAATTATGCATGTGAATATGACAGAAGGTGACTGTGTATATGTATTCTCCGTTTGTCCAAGTTAAAGATTTGGAATAGTATGTGACGGGAATCTGTAAGAACTGGTGAGGAGAGTTTTTGATATGTGGAAAAGTTGTCTATGGCCTATCCGAGGATGTGAGTAGAAATATGAAGGGTCAACACAAACTGACCTGTGAAAGATTGTCTCGCATTTGTTGCTCCAAGGGAATCCCTTCCTCAGTATGACGTAGAATCCAATCGCATGGATTCATGGAGACTACCCAGAATCCAGCTTCAAACCACAGGATATGAGAATAGCCTTTGATTTCGCCAGGGGCGTCATGAGTTCATCTTTCGCTTTCATGAAAGTGCTAGGTCGCGCCTTGCGGTCGTTATAAATGTAGATGATCATGAGACGATGAGTCTTGTTTAGCCGTCGAAAGCGAGAATCGCTGCGATCATCCATGTCAGCACTGATGGTGAGCCAATGACCACGCTCCCAGTACTCACGACGCCACTTGTACAGTACATGAAGTTGAGAATTCTTGGCACTGCGGCGTAGAACTCGTCTTCAAACATCTCGTGTGGAAAGAAGACCAAGAACTTGATGTGACTGCGCCACATGTCCTCCAAGGGGGTCATCAAAAGTAAGTCCAAGTACTCGAATACGTCAAAACGAACGGGTAGAGCTGCGATAGCATGGCGAGAAGGTTTGTAATCTGGGAAACTCAGTGTCAGTCGAACGTACTTCTGAACCACGATACCGTAAAAACGTCGGCTGGACTTACTTGCGACGGGCTCAATGACTTTGTCAGCCTCCTGGAAAGGCTTGAGGTATAAGGAGAAATGTCGATCAGGAGCTGCAGTCTGAGAATGAACGCGCCATTTCGTGGATATGCGAGGTGATGACATACTCTTTCGCCCACGTTTGTTCTTGTTACTCACATGGCTCGACTGAGCCGGTAAGCGAGACTTCTTGGAGGGGGGTTTACTACCATCGTCCGCGGAACCACCTTCATCTTCGCTACTTTGATCGTGAGAAGTGAACTCTGCATCATCACCTTGGATATTAGCTGGGAATACTGGAAGAGGATCCCAGGGTTCAGGAGCGGTAGCAAGATGAACCTCGCAAACGCTAGCCAAAACATTTTCCAGGTATTCATCTGGGCCGAACTAGATCCACGGCGTGAAGTTCAGCTGCTGCCAATGGATAACTAATCTCAGCATGTAATACAGAGTTTCCTTGCCAAACCGAGAGTGTAGCAGAGTAGCTCTACCAGCCGACTTCACAGCATCCCAGAATGCAGTGCCACCTAGAACCAATTCTCGGATATCGACACAAGTATGTTTCCATGTGAATGGGCTGGGAATGAAGCGCTTGGCGTCCGAGACTGGGATAGTATATGAAGCATTATTCAGAGCTCGGACGGAGTTGGGATGGTGATTGTCAGGACGACTGCTTAAATCAAGTCGTTTCAAGAAAGATACGACCCTGGAAGATGGAGATGAAGCACCCTGTGAAGATTGAGAATGTGGCGTGTCTGAGGCAGACCCAGTAAGGTTGACCATATTACCGGGTGCAGATTCTTTCTCCTCCAATTCTGGTACTCCAGAACCATCAGGAGAGAGAGAGAGGTCTGAGAGTTTGATTGTTTTCTTCGATCTCAGCTTCGATCCCGGAGTTGGCTTGGGAGTTCCTTGGTGCAGCTAAGACAGTGTATGGGCTGCTGCATGACCAGACAACAGAGCTGAAGAGGGCTTGGATGTCACAGGCTTGTGGCAGTGAGGTGTGCACGGTGTACAAGCATCGCTCATGAGATCCCGAGCGTGAACGACCCAGGAAGTCACCGCCTTGGGGTCCATGTTGGTGCTGGCCCAGTAGTGTTCCACTAGTTCCTGAAGCCGGCGTCAATAACCCACGAAATTACAATTCTCCATAATGAAGTCCATGAGGCCGTCACCTGACAAAAACCTCACGGTGGCGAGCTCTGCTTCAGCTTTATCCGCACGATACTTTTCGAGATCCATGGACTTGAGAATGTCCTCAGCATCTTTAACATGGACGCTACAGATATCTTTGCTCTCCTTGCGCCGCTTACGTAATTCTTTGACCTCTGCATTCAAATTCATGCCCTTATTGGTCGCTGCAGTGAGGTCTCACTGGGAAAAGCTGGTAATGCGACCAGTGTTGAGTTGTAACTGCAGTGCACGAACTTCAGCCGCATGATCAGCTCGGGAACGATGCAGTAGGCCCTCCAGTTGCGCACTTGATCCATGAGCTCCTTGTTACGAACCACGATTTGAGTTGAGCGATTGGGAGCCTGAAAATGACGTACTTGGTCCAGTGTCAAACGCAAGAAACGCAGCTTAGACACTACCCTGAGTGCAAAACAGTCGGCACCAAAGCAATGCAACAAGGGAAAGACCTCACGGTCAACCTGAGCGCGGAACGGAGGGCCGTGGAAGTCTGGCCCAGCCTGCAGTAGCTGCTGAAATTGTAACAGCATTTCTGAGGTCACAGACATCCTGGTCAAACCAGCCACTAGGACCGAATTCGCGTGAGAGAAGTCAGGAACTTCCATTACCCGCATCAGTCCAGCAGGTACTGAGCATGACCAGCAACGT